TCAAGTTAGAACCTAAACATTACTACACACAACCACTTTAAAAACACATTTCTTTTGAGGAAAGTGGCTCTCCTTTCTTAGAGGTCTACATCCCCTCTGTCTGGGTCAAATCAAATATACAACATGTTTACTGTTGAAACAATTAAAAAATAATAATTCATTGTATAAATTTCTTAAACATGGAACTGACAAACTTTTCACTTGAAATGTAAACTTAAAATGAATATCATTACAAATTAATACAATTYATTTCAAAACAAACTAGGCAGATACTTTTAATGCTAGCTTCKTCTTACACGTCTTTTAATTAGGATACTGGGATCTCAAACTCTAGATTGAAATGTATTTGTGTAAGTGAGGTGTCTAAACAGTAAATACTCATTATTTTGAGTGGCAGCATTTAAAATACCCTCAGCTGTCCTGATGAATCGATTGATTGAACTATAACTTCAAAATACAAAACTGCCCTGTATGCAATATTATCTTTATCACAACAACGTTACTTTTTTTTGGCTGTGTCTGTCGGGTATCTTAGATAGAATCTTCTTGCACAACAATCTAGACTTAAGCTGCAGACTGTGGTTTTCACACGTTTAGGAAAGATGATGAATAGAGTCCTGGCTGAAGCACTAAAAAAGAGCAGCCGGTCAAAAAACACAGAGGAGTTTGGCTGAATGAGCAGATGACTAGGGAGGAAACAGAACAAGTATGGCTCGAGTGGAGACGAGGCAAACTTTTCAGCCACGAGTTAATGATTTATTCGCTCACACATGTACAAACACAGTCAGAGAGAAAAAGAAAAGAAAAAAAAATCCCGTCACACACGCACAAACCACAAGCTGTGCAGCAGCCAAAGTAGATTAAGTAAGAAGTCCTTATATGGGCGTCGAAACAAAGGGAAGGCCTGTTTGATCAGCAGCAAAAGTACTGTTGTGATATTATCTGCTCCCTCTGTACTCCCCTTCTCTTCCTCCCCTCCTCCTCCCTCTCCAAGCTCCAGCCACTGTTATTAATGYATTGACTTGCATTATTGATGCATGGCATTATGATAATGGTTCTGAGAGCACTCCTGGGGGGTAGAGAGGGTAGTCTGAGTGCGTGYGTCTGAAAAGAGGGGAGGGTGTTGCTGGAGATAATGGGGAGGATGGTTGGGGGGGTGGGGGCAGGACAACATGACTGGATGCCAACAGGCCCACATAGTGAGAACTCTGGTTGGTTTCCAGTTCTGAATAGATAATTAAAGAAAAATCTGAGGGACCCACATGTGACTCCATCAATTAAAGTGCGGGGCAGCATTACGCTGTGATTCATCATGGTTCYCAGATGACATCGTCTGTGCTTTCTATTCTTCCGTCTGTCTGTTTACGTCTTTGTATCGGTGTCCATCCTCTGTTTTAATCTCTGCATCATCAGAGCATTCAGCAAGGTTGGTGGGCTAATGATGCAGGCTGAAAACCTGATCTGCTATAAAACACTGAGCTGGAAAAGTCTATAAGGACACTGCGTTCCACGTGTTTCTAACTCACACCAGTTTTTATCGCCAAAACATGTATTTCGTTTCAGTTTGAAAATGAAATAAATACCTAAAAAACTTCACATTTTAGAAGAAACCTTTCTCATARAATATTAACTATTTTTATGAAGATTTATTGAACGTGTTTCAGTTTTAGCCAGGCTGAAGCAGATTTTTGACAAATGCCAWAAACATTTGTTCCAATATGTCCTGTCAGTTTATAGATAGTGTTGGGCTGCACAATATATTGCATATTTATCGCCAYTGTATCCTCACTGTGTGCAATWAGCATRTCACAAAAAACGGCATCAACTGCAATAASTGGTTGGCTCAAATGTTTGCATTTATGCRTTTCGACAGCATCTGTCTGATRAACCAAATGGACATGAGATACTAATCGTAACCATTTGGTGAGTGGAGAAAATGTTGAACTGCAATGAGATAATTTGCAGTTTGATTTAGGTTTGTTAACTTTTATTTAAAAGTCTTTCACTTATTTTCAGATACTGTTTATTTAAAAAAAAACGGATAGTAAGGGGCGTTTTTTGAAACTGAATTGCATGCACTTTGTTATTTCACTTCTAACAGCAGCTCTCTGCACTTTTTAAAAGATAAAACTGTAATATTGCAATGGAAATGATAAATTGTTATTGTATTTATTTTTTGCTTTGAACCCAGAGCAGTAAGACACCGACACTGCTTACTTAAGTGTTTGTTTATTTATCCCAAGTCACATCATATATTAAGCACTGTTATCACTCATCGAGTTTTTTCTGATATCGTGCAGCCCTAAAGCAGTTCATAAATAGTAGAAATAATTGCAGTTGCATCCCTAATTTTGTTTAGTCAAGCAGCTTTTGTAACTCAAAGATGACGTCTGTAACTTCAAATTAATGAACACGTTGATGATCACACATAACTTTTATATGTTGTCAATTTTTTATACAGTATTTGGGTCCTGCTAGAAAAGGCATACATGCTGTGATATTCAAGTAGTTATTTTTTGTCATCATTTATGTGTTTTAAGGGGGAAACTGCACTGAAATGGAGTTTGAACTTATTGTGTAATTACAGAAATTGATTTGATGGTTACTTTATTAAAGACAATGTGACAAGCATGTCATGGACTAAATACCATTTTATATATTTAGACTTAATTACAGAGATTTTTAGNGTCATTATATATGATGTCACCATAAAATAAAATCAGTAAATAGACAACAAATTTAGTAGACTGTATACATTTTTGTTTGGAACAGTTTTTATTCTCATGTAAGAGAAGAGAAGAGAGAAGAGAATGCAACAAAAGGAATTAAAATGCATTATTTCTTTCTTGCATGTTTTCTTATATTTCACAAAAGAACCAACAACACATTTTTACATGTTTAAACGTTCTTCTTTCAGGTGAAACCTTCTCAGAAAACTTCAGCCACAAAGAGAGATGCCAGTCGTGCACACGATGCCAAGGCTTGCTCCGCATGGAGACGCCCTGCACGGACTCTAACGATGCCATCTGTGTGTGCGACTATGGTTACTACCTGCATACGCTCACTCAGCGGTGTGAACCTTGCACTAAATGTCCCGAAGGACAGGGCATGCTGTACAGCTGTGAGTCAGACCACGACACCGTGTGTGAGGTGTGCAACGAGGACACGTACTCGGACCAGGAGAGTTCTCGGGACCCCTGCATCCCCTGCACCACTTGTGATGAAGGGGCGCCGTTGGAGGCCTGTACCCCTGTTAAAGATACAGTTTGTGAATGTAAGAATTTTCTCTCGCATCCTTTATACATCATTTTTTAAAATAGTGTATTTTCACTGTAAAGTAAGAAAAATGATAGAATAAAAGGTCGAGCATTCCTTGAAAAATTCCTTGGGAGAATGCAAATGTGCTGCTTTTAGACTAAGTTTTAGACTAAGATCATTTTGTGTTGAAAAATGAGTGTAGGCATTTTGGTCAAACTTTGAAAATAACAGTAAGTGCAATCTCATGCAGATGTGTGATACCTGGTAGTTCTTGGGACATAAGATGTAAATGACTGTTGGCTTCTGTCACACCAAATTTTAACTTCATACAGGTCCTTCTCAAAAATTTAGCATATTATGATAAAGTTCATTATTTTCTGTAATGTACTGATAAACATTAAACTTTCATATATTTTAGATTCATCGCACGCCAATTGAAGTATAAGCCTTTTATTGTTTTAATATTGATGATTTTGGCAAAAAAAAAGTAAAGAAAAAACTAAAATCCTTATGTCAAAAAATTAGCATATCATGAAAAGGTTCTCTAAATGACTTATTAACCTAATCATCTGAATTAACGAATTAACTCTAAACACCTGCAAAAGATTCCTGAGGCTTTTAAAAACTCCCAGCCTGGTTCATTACTCAAAACCACAATCATGGGTAAGACTGCTGACCTGACTGCTGTCCAGAAGGCCATCACTGACACCCTCAAGCAAGAGAGTAAGACACAGACATTTCTGAATGAATAGGCTGTTCCCAGAGTGCTGTATCAAGGCACCTCAGTGGGAAGGTAAGTCTGTGGGAAGGAAAAAGTGTGGCAGAAAATGCTGCACAACAAGAAGAGTTGACAGTCAGTGATGGTCTGGGGTGCCATGTCAGCTGCTGGTGTTGGTCCACTGTGTTTTATCAAGGCCAGGGTCAATACAGCTATCAGGAGATTTTGGAGCACTTCATGCTTCCATCTGCTGAAAAGCTTTATGGAGATGAAGATTTTATTTTTCAGCATGACCTGGCACCTGCTCACAGTGCCAAAACCACTGGGAAATGGTTTACTGGCCATGGCATTACTGTGCTCAATTGGCCTGCCAACTCTCCTGACCTGAACCCCAGAGAGAATCTGTGGGATATTGTGAAGAGAAAGTTGAGAGACACAAGACCCAACACTCTGGATGAGTTTAAGACACAAGACCCAACACTGGATGAGTTTA